AAAAGTATACATATGTAAAAAAAAGTGAAATAGCTAAGTGGTCTAAAGAAATTGATCCAGATTCCAGAGTTACTCAGTTATGCAACAACCAGAATGAAGGTGGCATCTGAGGGGAAGGGAAAGAGCATAAAATTGAGAATCAGGAGACCTGGTTTCCAGCCCCAGTTTCATATTACCTGATCAGGTGTACTAGTCCAGTCACTTCACTTGGCCTTTACATTTTTAATATGATGAAAGTGTTGGTGGATGATCCTAAATTCCTCTCTGGTTTGGACATCCCATAATCACACATCCAGGTATGCTCTTGGGTGAGCGCCAAGAGGGTTGGGGCCAGAAAGGGGAAAATAAAGGGATGGCTGAGGGGAGGTGCTGCCAGGTTATCGAGTGGGAAACTGGTGGCTGCAGCGATGTCCAAGAGGAGAGAGAAATCACGCCACTTCTACCATGCTAACCTAACTAACTGCTGTCTAACCTGGAAGAATGTTTAACATTATAAGTGGTCATATTTCTCTTGTTTTAGAAAGTATTAGCCTCCTACTTTGACTGCACAATAAATGTAATGTGCTTGAATCATCCCCCCATATGAGTCCCCCTCCCTGTCGGTGGAAAAATTGTCTTCTATGAAACCGGTCCCCGGTGCCAAAAAGGTTGGGGACCGCTGCCCTGAATGACTCAATAATATCCTAGATAACTGCCTTTAAAAAAACCCACAATTCAATCAAGGATGAATGGCCTGTTTTTCTGGTGATTAAATAAGAGAAATAAGTAAGACGGAATAGTTTCTATAGAAGCAACCTGAAGGGTAATGATTGCCCTCCCTCCTTGACCTCCCAAAGTGCTAGGATTACAGATATGAGCCACTGCGCCTGGCCTTATATTTTTAAATTACTAAGTTGTGGCTGGGTGCAGTGGCTCTTGCCTGTAATGCTAATCCATTCTCCTATTGATGAACATTTGAGTTATTCTCTGTTTTTGTCTATTATGAATAAAGGTGCTATGAACATCCTTGTATGTAACGGTTGTGGCAATATTCACTCACTTCTCTCAGATCTGTGCCCAGAAGTGGAATTGCTGGTTCAAAAGACTTGCATGTGTCTAGCTTCAGCATAAGCCACTAAACACTTTTCGGAATTGAATGTGACATTTTGCACTCCTGCTAGCCATGTACGGGAGTTCCAGTTATTCTAGTTCCTTGTCAAGTCTTACTCTTCTCCATCTTTTAAAATGTTAGGTACTCTGGTGGGTGTGAGGAGGTATCGCATTGTGGTTTGAATCTGTATTTCCCTGACACATAATGTTGAACACTTTTTCATAAGCTTTTGCATGTTTTCTTTAGCAAAGTAAACTTGGTCTAGTCAGAATGGTTTATTTATTGCTGAACACTCTTTGCCCATTTAAAAATTGTTTGTACTTTTCTTATTGATTTGCAGGAGCTCTTTGTGTTCTGGATGTGAGTTTCTCTCAGATGAAAAAACAGAAAGGCATTTGATTGAAATTATTTCGTGTGTTGGCCTAACACCTGACCTTGCTCATTTTTTTAAAAAGGAAATAATCCAGTGTTAGTCTGGAATAGTTATTCTGCCTGTGTGGAAGAGAGATAGGATATTTTAATTTAAAGAATTATTTTAGTAGCTCAAACCAAGGAAATGTTTGGACAAGCGAAGTGATAGTCCCACAAATATTTATCTTGGCATAAATAGTCTTCCTTTTGGGCAACCGGACCTTTATATAGAGGCCCTTTGTATTCTGAGATAAGCGGCAGGATCTGCTGGGAACTGGATGATAATTCCATTTTGTGGTGGTCATGACAGAGTGACATCATGGATGAAAGAATAGAACTTTTCCAAAGCCCTCCCAAAATATAGACCAGAAAGAGACACTT